CAAATTAATAAAAGAACAGAAAATACATTCTTGTATACATATTGTATTTTTAACATAGAAATCATCAAATAAAGAGTATTACTTTTTTTTTTTTTTGTATTTTAGGGAAGGGTCTACAGGTGTTCCAGGTCTCACTAGTAGATTGGATTTGTAGTGATCCGCCTCTTTACAGCCTCCCAACAGCCGGGAGTATAGGTGCATGCCACCACGCCCAGTTTCAACTGCCATCTCAGTGTGCCCCAGGTGCGGATGCGGAGCTGGCATGGCAGGCCCGGGGATTGAACCCCTGGCTCCTGTGCCTTCTTGCAGGTGCTTTAATCTGCTGAGCTATTTGGTGGCCCTAAGAGTATTACTTTAGAAAGTAATTTGTGGTATATCTATTCACAATCAGGCATTATACTTTGAAATAAGATCAACTAAGTTTGCAACAAAACACAAAGGTCTTATGTCATTTTTTCAATGAGACTATAAACTAGATTGACGAAAACATTAATGAAGTCATCAATATATATCTGTTGTACCTGTTTATCTCATTACCCACCTGTAATATTATGGTTGCTATGGCTCCAGTAAGATACAATGAAAGACAGTCGCAGGCTGTTGCTGTCCACTTGTCACTCCCACCAGTTGGTCTGAAAGAAAAAAACTAACATTTTATAAAATAACAGCATAAGATATTTAAGTACACAGGTAAAAGAAATGTTACACATAAGTTTGAAGCAACTAAAATGTGCTCAGAGGCAAATCTGAGTATGAATTTGTGTTATCATCCCAGCTTTCTTTTCCATTTTCACAGCCTTTTTTGTTCATCCATCTATTGTGCTTTGATGCATATTATATACTAACTTGTGTGTATCTTTTCAGCACAACGCTAAAGACCCAAAAAAGGTAAGTATATTTACGGAACTTCTCATTATCATATGTTTCACATGAATCAACTAGACTACAAGTTATAAGAGGACAGAGACAATGTACTTTCTCACCATTACATCTTGTAATGACTAGCACAGTCCCAGTGTGCAGAAAGTACTCCAGAAATACTTAATTGCAAGAAAAAAAAGTTTCTTTGTAATGACTCTACTGTGCTCTCTTGGGAATTTTTTAGAATTTAAATCTAATTCAAATAACTACCCATAAACATAAGCCTCCATAGTGCAGAAAACCATTCATTCTTTCATGCTATTTTTTTTTTCAGTACTGGGGATCAAAGTCAGGACCTTGCACTTGCCAGGCAGGTGCTTATGCTGCTGAGCTATCTCCCCAGCCTCAAAGAGTTAAAGATATATTACACTGACACATACAAACCCATGTTAATAGCAACACAACTTGTAATAGCTAAATCTCAAAAGTGGCTAATATGTCTATCAACTGGTGACTGGATAAAGAAAATGCACCATTTTTATACCATGGAGTATCACTCTGCCATGAAGGATAAATTTGAGTCACTCATAGGAAAACAGATGGCAAATGAAATAAACCATATGCACATGCTTAAATGTGTCAATGTTTCTCTTGTAGGAGAAACTTAAGCTATAAATAATCTAAGGAGTAAAAATAAAAGAGAAATAATAAGAAACCTGGAGGAAGGTCTTTTGCAAATGCGCAGGGAATTTGGATGGAGAGGGCAGTAAAAAAAGATGTATTATATGTATCTACCTACTCTCCATCATGAATGTAATCGTTATAATACTGAAAATGTACTAATTTAAAAGAAAAAATCTGGCTAATTCATCAAAAGTTACTGAAATTTTCAAACATGCACAAAAACCATATAATAAGATCTTTCAAAATTAGCAATACATGACCAATTTCATTTCGTTTGTACCCCTACATATCCACTTCTATTTCTAACTTTTGAAGTAAGAACCAGGTATCACATTGTATCAGTTGCTTTCTCATTCCTGGGACATAATATGTAGCACCCACAAATTAACCATTTAAGCATTTACCCAAGTGTCACTTGGTTGTGCATCTGTTTACACACTCCTATCCCAAGCATTGTGTGGGCAGATGTCATGTGAACCAACTTTTTTTTTTTTTTTTTGGTACCTGGAATCAAAGTCAGGGCCTTTTGCTTGCAACACAGGCACTGTGCCACTGAGCTATATTCCTGGCCCAGTCAGTTGATTCTAATATTGAGTAATTTGATAAAATTGTTTTTATATTTCAGGGTATATTCTCTTATAAAAATGAAAAATTAATTTTTGGTCATTCTGTAATTTAAATAATTGGACTGATAGAGGAGGAGAGATTTGATTTAGCTCAGGGTATCTGAGGATCAGTACGTGGTTGACTGCTCCAAGTCAGAAACATCCTGGAGGAAGGGCATGATGAAGCTGCTTTGTTCGTGGTGGCCAGGAAGCAGAGCAGGAAGAGTGCCAGAGAGGAATGAGCAAGGGTTCAGTGTAGTGGCTAAGACCACACTTCTGTGACCTATCTTCACATACCCAAGAGCATGTTTCACTAATTTGCTAGGTATTTCTTAAACTCATGAAGGTGATATGTAAGGATTAATGCTCACACAGAATTCCACTTATAAAGATTTTAGTTTCCATTTCCAGAGTTTTATTTTTTGGAGATAGAAGCTCACTAAGTCATCAAGGCTGACCTTGAGCTCATAATCCTCTTGCCTTAGCCTCCTCAGCACTGGAATTACACCTGTGTGCAATCACTTTCAGTCCCAAAGTCTTTTAAAATAAACATAACTACAGTAGTATCACTGCAATTTTTAAAATTATTCTTTAGTATTAACTTATTGGATGAAATTCACCTTTTCTTGATGTCTCAAAAGCACTTGGTATAGTGTCTGGAATTGACTTTCTATCTCATTTCCTGCAATTTTGAAAATGAGTCATTTCTTTTGCAGTGTCCAAGGTTTGTTTAAATTTAGTGGACTATATTTCCATGGTATAAAACATGTTCCTCTGTCCATTGCATTTTTCATAGTTATCTGGATCAGATCCAAATAGATTTTTCTGTTTTTGCATATATTCAAACTGATGCTAAGTAAGTCTATAAAGAGATCTAAAAGGTGTGGTTCTCTCGTGATGTTTGTAGCCACTGACAATTATGGCCTAGAACCTTTAGTTTATTCAGGGTTTTCAAATGGTATTATACTGATATTTTTCCTTGGGGTTTATCTCCTTCTTTCTGTCTTTTTGAAACAAGGTCTCGATATGCAGTTCAGGGTGGCCTTGAGCTCACTTTGTAGCTTATGTTGGTCTTAAACTCACAATGATATTCCTGGCCTCAGCCTCCAGAGTACTGGAATTACAGGAGTGTACTACCATGTCCAGCTACATGCTTTGGGTTTCATTTGAAGCATTCAGAACACTTTTCTCTTACCACTTATTGGATTAACCTGAAACACAGTACGTATAGGAAAAGCAAGACAAATGCATATTTCCCAGTATTCAGAACAAAAAGGCAGCTCCCTAGAACTTTCTAAAGCTGACCTTTGAGGTTTTAATCACAATGAACTGATACAATTGCCATCCTTCAGTGGTTAGCTGAAGATCACTGGGGTTGGCTATTGAATTATTTTGTCATAATTCCACTAATTTTTCTTTCCTTTTTTTTGTACCCAGAATCAAACTCAGCACCTTGGGCTTGTTAGGTAGGCACTGTGCCACTGAGCTATATCTCTGGCCCTAATTTTTAACAGATTTCTCCTTTTTTGCTGTTATACTATTTTTGGAAGAAACACTTGTCTTACATTATATATTTCCTAAGACCAAGGA